TTTTCTCTCTACAAGCAAAACATGTCTTATAATTTGAAGCCCACAAAGGATGTAAGAATATATTAATAGGCAAATGAGCCCTATTTGTAATTATTTATTTAGATCTTCTGGCTAGCCACAATCTTGTTCACATATAGTCTTCAAGAAGGAGGAATAGTCCTAGCAGGTTATATACAGGCAGGTTTTCAGCCTAAGATTGTTAGTACTGGGCATGAAGACCAAAGCTAATATCTGTGCCCACTCTACACCAGTTCTTTGTGGTTCAGCCTGTAAATGCACAGCCTCATTGGCAGGCTGCATCTATGAGCAGAATACATAAGCTCTTCCCCTCATGAAAGGGGAAAAAAATTAAAAATCAAAGCTAAGCTCTACATCTGGAAGAAAAAAAGCAATTAAAACAAGAGGAAAACAGTTCTGACACGGCCTAGTCCTCTGGTGAAATCAAGATTAAGAGGCATGTTTATGAGCAAAACTAAGTCAATATTTTCAAATTGGTTTTTAGAGCAAATCTTAGTTTTACCATTCATAAAATTCAATAGGTAATTACACAGCTAGGCAAAAGTCCTTAGAGGAAAGCAGAAGAATAATGAATTCCCTACATAATTATTTATAGCTGTGTTTTTGAGTGAACACAGTACAACAGGCATCAAGCCAATACTTAAAGGGAAAAAAAACCAGATTTGTAAAACCTTAAATATTTCTGTAAGCCAGTCCATAGACAACAGCCTATTTCACAATCTAATCTGCCTTTGCAATACATAAAAATCCCAACAACTTAGCCTGCCTCTCTGATTAATCATTACGATTTAAAATAAAACCTTGACAAAGACGGGTCCAGAAGCACAACCACAAAATATGTAATGCTATCAGAACATGCAATTTGCTTAAAAAAATGTTCCTGGGAAGTGCCATAGTGTTGTGTGCAAAACATGTTGTCTGATCTGTATTTTGAAGAAACCCTTGGGAACAAAATCATTACCAAGCATCAGTCAAAATGGCAACAACTACAGCTCAAATCCAATTCAGTCTTTCATAACTAACCCTAAGAACAAGCTGCTTATCACTCCAAAGCTCAAAAAAGATGATGAAAACTATATAACACAATGTCCTTTGGTTCCCTAAAGACATTATTACATTCAGTTAGGAGCTGATTGCTGTGCAATGATGCTTCTGCTTTCCAAATACACAGCTTAATTGCCAATACAACTTCACAAGAAAACAGAGAGGAAAAATTTCCCTCTCCTGCTATTGAAAAGACAAGCAGTAGTTGCTAGCAAATAAAAAGAAGGCCAAATTGTTGTTATTTTTTTAAGCTCGAATATCATCAATAACATGCTGGAGGCAAAACTAAACAAACATTTTTTTTGCAACAAACAAATAGAACATGATCCAAACACTCTCCTAAAATCTCATACATAGTGTCACAAGTAAAAATTTTAATAAAAATCTATATCAATACATAAAATTCACAGCCCAAAGGAGCTCTAACTGTACTGAAAATAATGGGGGTTTAATTTCTATATTACATACAGATGCTCTTGCTCCAGTTTAAGTCTTCTTTTATACACATCAGAAACAATACTGGATAGATTGCTCTGCTCTATTTCAGCACTCCAAAAACAGATTTAAATGGAAAAGATCACTGCACACAGGGCTGTGCAGGCCACATTTCATTCTTCTTATACAACAGCAGGAGTTTTCAAGCAATTTGAATGTTACTTAGTCATTTGAAGGAGAGAGCACAAAGTTGGCATAATTTTTATTACTGTAGCATGTGGCATGTATAGCAGAAAAGTTGCTGGGTATATATACTGGAGCAAGAGGGGCATATGTCCTTAAGGAAATACCAAAACCCAGACAATAAAGTTTATCAATGTTAGCAATAAACATGAAGCCCCTCCCTCTGCAGCAGCTTTAACTTAAATGCCCAGAAGCTCTGTGGATTCAAAAGACTGAATCCTATACCCTTGCTCTTGCCAAATACCTCAATTGCCTTCCATGTGCCTAACATTTCCTTAGGACCAGATGTAGTTGTCTTCTTTTATCCAGCCACAATTTATTTCTGTGTTAGGAACTGCCACTTTCCATCGATGCTGCCGACAAGAACCTGCACACCTCTCACAGCTCCCCCAGCTTAGGGATAGGCCAGCTAAATACCACACAAAAGCACCTTCCAAACATTTTTTCTTCTTTATGAGGAATGCAGACAGATCCTGGTGAAAAATGTTCAGGACAACCCCAGGATTCCTTCTTCAGTGCAGAGGGAAGTACTTGCAGAGATGCACATAAAAGTTGGAGGAGAAGTTAAGAAATAAATGGGAAAGGAAACAAGAACCGAGGGAGGGAAAGGAGGTTGGAGAAACAAAAGGCAGCTATAGGCAACATAAGCATTGCTGAAACAAACAGGCTGTGTGTATCCTATGTCTAGATCAAAACCCCCATTAAACAACATTTTTGAGCAAGAACTTATTTCTTGGTTTTAATACAGCACTAAAGTAAAATAATAGGAAACTAATGGTACATCATTGACTCCATAGGGTTTAAATTCATTTGTCTGCCCTGGTTTTCTGCAGTTTTCATCCATCTTGGAAAAACACAAAATTAATGGATTTATATCTTTTCCTGCAAATAAATGGCAATTGCAAAACAACTATGTTCATTTATACCATGTAAAATAACCTGCAAGATAGCTGGAGGGGTAAACAATATGTATAGCAAGAGAGTTTCTGGGAAGGGCACAGCAGCTGAGCCAGCAGAAAACTCTGCCCCCCTTGTGTTTTATATCTGGAACACTGGGCACCCTGGTCATGTTGGTGGCAACTCTTCCTTAGTGCAAGAGAAGCCAACCTGTCCCAGGAGAAGAATCAGAGCAGGAAAGCCTGCTGAAGATGGAATCCAAGCTCTGACATAAATGTCTCAGCAGCAGCTGTGAAGAGGCATTTATTTCTCTCATACACCTGCTAAAACTTGAATGCCTCTGCCTGTACATTACTTGGTAGGAATGTTTTGTGGGGATTTTTTGTAAACTTACTCTGGACAATTTCACGTAACATTTATTCATTATTTATTTATTAATTTATTATTTTTTGATTATTTATCCATTAACATCCCTTCATTATCTTCAGTGACAATACCATTTCAAAGCTGAGTTTTGCTTCAGCAATCTATGAAATCTCTGATTTTTCACAGAAGCCTATTCATCTTTCAATCATTTGTATTACATCACTCAAGTAATTACTAAATTTTATTTCAGGGAAATACATAAATCTCTTCTATAAAAATCTACACTTAATGTCACACTCCCTTTAAAGCCCTCAGAAAGATACAGACACACTTAGTCTACAGGTCACCAAACCTGCTTCCTATGGTAGCTCTGGAGAGCTGATAAACCATGCCTCACACTCTGTGGAGACAATCAGATGTCCAATGACTACAGGAGCCCACCTCAACATCACTACTTGGTTTGATGATCCCCCTCCTTGTGGATCTTCTTTGCCCTGCTCCTCACCATGACCGGAGGAGCAAGAGGAGATACTTGAGACCAACTTCAGATTTCATTTAGGTAAACAAGAAAGGCAAAGAAGCATGTGCAGCTGGTGTAAAATAAACACTCATACTCTGCTAAAAATGTTCCAGGCTGAATTGAACATCCACAAGGAGCTAAGGAAAACAGCAACACAGAATTCCTTACAAAGATTCCTTGGAACTGGGAGATCCTGTTGCTACTCTCAAACACTACTTAGACTCATGGTATTTTAAGACAGGACAAAATGTCCCGTACAAGTAATTTACATGATCCAGGGTTTCCACCTTGATATAGTGTACTGTCACTGAAAACTCCCATGATCAATTCATATTTCATGTCTAGGTCCAACAGACAGTGAAATGTAATAAGGGCCTGACTTTATCAAATCCACAGCCTACTACAAACCCTACCAATACAATCACAGCAGGACAAAGTCAAAGAATTTTGTAAACAGGAGATGTGTACTGATACAACCAATATAACATCAATGAAGTCATTAAATAATTTGGGATGAAGGGACATGAATAACAAGCCAGTAGAGAAGGAGGTGTGATTCCTGCTTATGCTAAAAAAAATAAAGCAAAACTCTGCTATGAAAGTTCCCAAATTCCAGAACCTCTCTGAAAGAGATGGCAAAGTGTGCACTGAAGATGCCATGGTTTGAACCAGCTGGGCATGAAGAACTGTTTCAGCCTGCACAGGCTCAGCCACTGTGGTGCTCTGGGTACATTTCTGCTCTCCAAGCTGTCAACCACACGTCCATTGACACACACCCTCCTTCCTCAAGGGCACAGTCTCAGTAGCACCAGAGCCACCCTGGGCTCTGGATACACTTCCAGTCACCCTCGGTTGGCCAGAATTAGCTGTCCTGCAAGCACCTACCCTGGTCTGGGATCCCCACGGGTTCCACCAGGATCTCTCCCTTTGAAGCAGACACACAGACACTGGGACAGGGAAGCACACACCACTGCCCCATCTTCTACTGGCTCCTTCCAGCATCAGTACAATGGGGACAAATGCTGCCAAGGATTTCCCCTCCAACCCATGCCTTAAAATAACACTGGGATGTGGGAGGAAAGCATCTAGGTTAACACTGCCTCATGCAGCATTATTTTAAGCAGGAAAACCCTGAAGATTGGTAGGGTTTTGATTCTTTCTTCCAAATGTTGCCACTTTAGGCACTTCCATCAGACTCTGCCTCTTCCTCCAGTTCTAATCACCTGACAGAATTAGAGTAACAAAAATAAGGGTAACTACTATACATGGAAAGGAATGAGAAATGAAAAAGTATTTTTATGCCAAGATCAAAACAATAGCAACCAAATATTTTTCATTGTGCCAGAAGAGACTTCTGCTATTTCTCAGACTACAGCATCACTCTGAGTTGACAACTTACAAAAAATAAATTAAAAATTATATTTTGAACAATTTTACCAGCAAGCCATCCACTCTTGCAGAAGCTGAAAGCCCATACCTGGCGTACAAAGCTGTTGGAGGTAGTGTCAGAAGATGTACTCCCATCTGAGCCTTTAAATCGGTTCTTTCTTCTTGCCCCTTTACCGTAAGACTGTTTGAAAGGAAAAAAAACAACAAAAAATACAGATTAGAGAAACAGCATTGCAGCATTAGTTTGTGTTGCACAGAAAGCTTCCGGTGTCTCCCAAGCTATCAGGGATTCAGATTATCAGCTTTGTGTCAATCAATAAGCACATACTCAGTAAGTAACTGATGGGATATGTATGTGCAAATGCTCACCAGGCTTGGTCAATTGAGCCCTAAATGTTTTGCTGTTGTTGGGCTTTTTTCACATTTGGGTTCAGAAACACATTTATAGACTCACATAGATGTGGCACTATTTACCTAAGTCACAGTGATTAAAGAGTACAGTTTGTTGTGCAGCTAGTTTAAATAAACAAGGCAGGAAAGGAGGTACTGGAGCAGCCTCCAGTACATCACAGCAATGAGCCAAGTCAGCTGAGGGAACATGAAAGAAGCAAGAAGTGACAAACAACTTGTTGATACAATCTTATAACTCATAGAGATTTTACAATAATAATTTTTTTTACTATAAGTTCAAGAAAGTAAAAGCAGTATAACAATAAAAAACGACTATATGTGTAACTGGGAAAGGGGTAATATGCTAGTAAAAAGCAAGGCATCTTTTATCTACTTTTATCTACTAGGAATTTAAAGAGACATGAGGAGAAAGCTATGGCTGGCTAAAACAAAGCTTTAAAACTATTGTTTAGAAATACAGAAAATCATGGTTTAGAAACAAAGCAAATGCATCCATGTGTCCACAAAAAGTCATTTGTTTTGTGCATTAAACATGGGTCATCAATAAATATTTTTTCATTAAATTACAAGGGAACAAAAAAAGAAATAGTTCAAAACTATGTAATTCGCAACCACTTATTTCTGTGCGAGTGCAAACTGTGTAGACTCTAAACTCTGCCATGGCACCACCTCTGGGCTGTGCAACCTTCAGAGCTTTGGGCCTGAGCTTACTGGTTCTCATGGTGGGGAAGAGTGGGCTCCAGTGCAGGCTGAAACACTTAAAATCTCATACTGGCAGATTTTTAATATCGTATCTTCAAAATGTGAATGCTGTTCTTAGCAGTAACACATAAGTGTGATTAAATATTCTGCAGTTTAAGACTATCTGAGGAGGACTACAGATAGCCATTACTAACTTCAGATCATTTGACAAATCCAGGTAACTTGCCCCCACCAGATGCAAGAGAAAAATCTCAAACTGTGTTGATCAATCAACTGTGTTGATTCTGGGTGAGTTTGGAGCACCAGATGAAATCTAATGCATCAATCTTTTAGGAAGGATGACTCAAGGAACAGCAGTTCTGTCAGCCAGACACTCACTCTCAGCAAAAACAGTATCTGTTATCTCACTAACCTAACAGTGAACTACAACAAAAGCAATGTTGTATCCCCCAAAAAACAGATTCATGAGAAAGACATTTTGCCAAGCTCATATGACTTTTTCAAAACTGCAAAGCAGCCATGTAAGAAATTTCTGAAAGGTACCCAAATTGATTCTATGCATGCTGGTTAGGGTTGAACTATACAAAAATCAGCATGTTGAAGATTATGGGGGTGAAAATAGGACTTTCTGATGAGTCTACAACTGTAACCCAGCGGGTCTCAAAATATAAAATTAAATTTCAATCAGGAATAGTTTTACATGGTTGCATTTCTAAAAGGAATCTTTTATAACTGAAGAACTTGCTGGTAATAAAAAGGTCTTTCTAGATCAAAAAGAGTAATTAGTAGATTGGAACCACTGTTACAGGCAAATTATTAAAAATATTTTCCAGTTATAATAGACAGTTCTACCAGAACCATTTTTTTCCATCTAGTATAACACAATTAATATTATATTCCACCTAATATAATATCAAAGTACCTAAAATACATAAAAAGTATCTCTGACAGCAGTATTCTTCAAATATAACAACATCTTTAAATCAAAATTTACCTGTTCTGAATGGTTCCCATTGAGTTAATTGCCTAGGGTTACACACAAATATTCTGAATTCCTTTCCTACAGGTTTTGTGGAAGAATATAGAAATACACTTATGAAAAACTAAACAATTTCTAACATTCACAAAGGAGCTCAAGAATATAAAGCACCTACATGAAGACCACACTATCTAGGCAATTTCATTTACAGTGTACAGTACACTATAATATTGTGTAATTCCCAAGGAGATAATTAAAAACATGTACAAATATTCTTCCTCATAGTCACACATTTTGAATTTGTCTCCAGTTTCTACAATATTTATTTTATTTAAAGTATCACGGTGCTCAGTTTGCTAACACGAAAAAATTATGAGAGGCAAAAGAGGGACTGATTCTAGAGTGATGAAGATAAAACAAATAAGAGCAGAAAAAGAAAAAGAATATGTTACAAGAACAGAGAAGCCTGCCTTATATCTGTGTTGCAATGACTAAAAGCATTTATTTCTGGCAACATCACAGCAAATGCAGCTCAGGCTAAAACTCACCTTGATTTTTCAGTTTGAGGAGTTTTTTCTTGTGGACAGCAACATGCATATTTTTGTTCTACTGTTCTGTAAGTGAAAACTCTTCAGAAGCATGAGCCACACACTAACTTTAAACACAAAAAACCTGTTGACATGATGGCAGGCTGTGGCTGCAGATTTTAGGCAGAGTCAGTTTTACATCTGCCTCTTTGTACAGAGTAGTTTTCAGTCAGAAGAATGGGGGACAACTTTTGTATGTGGGAAAACTGGGATTTGATGACTCTTTTCATTATTTTAAAGGATGCTAACTGGGGACTACATTTGTTTTCCACGCTGTTCAAGCTTATTCCCACAGTAAGAAATGCCTGAAACTTTCTTCTGAAGATGAGGTTAGCCTTCCATAATCAAAACAATCTTATATATTATTAAAAATTATTAATTATCTCTGCCATGTGGAGAAGCTTGAATGCTCATCCTGAGTATTGATCATTATTTTTTGCTTCTTCACGTGTATTTTTTTCCAAAAGATCTTAATGTGAGAACGAGGCCTTAGTAAATAAATAAATGAATAAATAAAATACTTAATGATCTCAGTTACTTTCAATTCTCAGGGGAAAAAAAAAAAAAAAGAGACTATTTTTGCCCAATACATTACTGTGATTTTCATGTTAAAATACATTCCCTTATCTGTGTTCTGTGCAGCATTTGGCTGCAATTAGGCAGCTAAAAATAAAGGGCTGAATCACGACACGAGGACATTGGCCAGTAAAAGCAGCAACACAGGGCAGTCATTGCTAACCTGTGTGGCAGCTGCCCCTAACAGAACCACCACTGGAGCCCAAACACCTCAGCAGCCCAGCCTGCAGGGCCCAGGGGTGGCAGCCTCAAAGCCAGCAGGGCAGGGCTGGCACCATCATCTGTCCCAGCTGATCTGCTCACAACTGACTCCAGCCCTGCGACCAAGCCTGGTGATAAAAACAGTGTGCTGACAGTAACATTCTTACTGGGTTTTAGCAGAGCATCTTACTCAAACATAAAGTTATGTATACATGTGTTTACAAGTTCAAAAGTGTAGCTTCATTTATTAGTCAGAGGTGTGAAATTCCTTTAAAATTGGCTGAGTTTTCAAAGAGGAGAAATAAAACACACACATTTATGCTCTAAAGCTTCATGAAATACCAGAAAAACAACGTGAAACCTTACCAAAAAAGCGAAAACCAAACCAAAGTAGTTTTGTAAAAACCATTTCATCAATCAAGACTTAACAAAGCAAAGAAAGACTCTGCTTTCCAACTCTGATTAGAAACTCTGATTGTGCAACTGTTATTCAACCCATGTCACCAAGTGAAATATGGGAATCATATGAAGTACTAAAGGCATACACTGCAGTTTCCTGATAATTAACAGTTTTATGTATAAGTACTTGTTATTGTAAACAGATGAGATCAATGCTGCTCAGTGAAACCCTTTAATTTTAATGAGGTTCTGTCTCAACACATAAAATACATAACATTTAATCCTGTAGCACACATGACAAGCAGAAGGCATCGTTTATGCCTGTAGGCAAAATACTATCATCTGCAAGAGGAAATGTAAAACATTTACAATTACCAACTACCTACAACCAGGGTCCTCAGTGGGAGTCTTAAAATGCCCTTCACCAGTAACCACTCTAATGGCATTTCATAGCAAAGCAGTGGTGAGGACCATGCAAAGGATGAGTCTGAACCTCAACTATTTATCATAGGGAAAACAGCACCAGCCATTGAGGCTGATGGCAGGTGGCAGAGGTAAACCCTTGAAAACTGGTCTCATGAAGGAAGAGTACAGATTATTTAGGCAGTAGAATCACTGAGACCAAGTCAGGTGCTTAAATAAAGATGGAAGAAATAAATTGGAGAAAACAAAACCAGAAAACAAAATTTCAGAGCTACACTGAACCTTAAATCATCTCAGATGAACAAGGGACCAACGAAAAAAATCAAAAGAACACCTAAAAAGGTAAAAAGTGACTCCCCTGAAGGATTAGGGAATTGCTAGAAGGTCAGAAATGCAAATATGCACCAAGTATTTTTCCTTCCCATGCAAAAGCTTAAAAAGTATTTAAAGATGCACATGTTCCATACACAGCATGTCAGGGCAGTGCAGAATATATGCATCTAGCTCCATCCTTTCCTTAAAAGAACAGCCACCGCCTCTTTAAGCAATTCCTTACACCAAGGAAACAAATGCTCCCGTAGGTCAGACCCCCTGGGTCCTTTCTGGCCACTAGCCAGGCTTACCACCACTCAGAAATTAAACCTTCCAGCATCAGCTGCATAGCTGCAACCCCCACACTCTCACTTAACAGAAAAACACATTAATATTTCTGATTTTGTCACCACAAATCATACTCATCTCATAAAGGAGTAGAGGTCAGCTTCCTGACCACACAGCCAAGGGCTGGAAGATGTACACAGACCTTGGTGATGTGTTCCTCACTAATGCACAGCTCCTTTCCATGACAGGAAGGAGGGCAGGGTAGGGTACAGCAATATATCCTGGCTTGCCTCCACCTCAGGA